TTTATTAGCACAGCTACATACAAGTTTCCCAGAAAAGAAGAAATAAGGGGCACAGTTATGAAGACAACAGTGTATCAAGATACCTTCAACACCATTCAACAGGGAGAAAAAAAAAAAAAAAAAAAAAAAAAAAAACACTGACTAAAAATAATCCTGACTACCTTTTCTAGGATATCATTATGGAGCTTAACAACAGAAACCTAAAGACATATCCCTAAGAGGACATGGAGATTTCTTTGTAAGACAGACTCCCAGAGGAATTCTGATTTGTATCTCAAGAACATAAAAAGGAAATGTCCTTATTTTTTTAGGCACATAGGTGAATAACTGCTCCCTGCCACCAACCAGGGAGAGCCCAGCCCTTTCCACCCTTTTCTGGGCAGCACAGGATCATCCCTTCTCCTGATTCAGAGCTGGAAGTTCCACCCCTCTCGGCTAAATCATACAGATTTCCCTGCAAGTCCATTCACAGAGCTAAACGAACAGAACACGACTCTCTTAATTCTAATTTTCTTATTTTCCTCTCCTCCTTAGCTTTAGCTTTCTCTTGGTCTAGTTTCTTACCAGACTGAAAAACAAGTTCGAAAGCCAGCCAGGACAGCAGGTAGGAGTGCACGGGAACCTTTCAGGACTAGCCAGTATATTCGTTTTTAGTATATTAGTATATAAGGTGATTCATATTCATGATTCACTTCTCATCAGTGACCTTACACAGGGCCTGAAAGTCTTTCAGGATCTGGGAAAGCTGCCCAAAGGGAGAAGAAAAAAAAAAATCCAGGTGATTCTTGGAAATCATTTTTCACTTTGCCATAGTAAATGAAAAAGCCAGGAGGAAATTGTGTGACCCATAATCTAGCCAATTGTCCGCATGTATATACTCTTCCCTATAATAAATGTAATAGGTTTAAGCTACCTCATTTACTGAGATAAAAGCACAAACATGGGCAGGTAGAGTCTCTCACGCCTTATTCATATAAAAACAAAACACACCAAAACCCTCTAGCCTTATACAGTGAGGAAAGAAAGCAAGCGAAGCAGATTGATCCCTTCAGGAGATGAATACCTGGTTCAGTGGGTTTAGTTCTGTGGGATACTGCAGTATTTCACCTGGAAAAATAAAATGGTTCCTACGACATCCAGCTTCATAACAGAAGTGCAAAGTTCTAAGTCAAATTAGCCACAGTAACCAGGAAAGCCCTAAATAAATCATCATGGCAGCAATGGAGTCTGAGCACACAAGAACACAGGCCAGATTTCATGGGGTCTTGTATGTTAAAAACAGGTCAAAAGACAAAGCAGCATAAGCAGTTTCTTAGCCCAATTTGATGATTATGCATAACTACACAGAACAGTGTCTTACAAAGCTCAAGTCCACTAAACTATTTCAACAGAGGAACAAGAATCCTAAGGATATGAATTCACTACTTTTCACTTAAATGTTTCAGCCAGAAAATAGAGAATCAGAAATTCATGTTCTCGCATCATAGCAAAATAACGTGGTTCAAATGCAATGAGAAAAAACACGTGCAATGATTACTCCAAATGCAGGTAAAGGTGTAACTGGAGATTATATCCTGTTAGGCAAGAGTACTTTTTTTTTTTTTTTTTTTTTAACTGCAGAAATGGTTATTCAGAATATGAAATAAGATCGTTACAACTTATTTCCTGTTGAGGAAAATGAGCCAGGCAAAATGATTTTCATCTCAGAAATACTACTTCTAAAGAATCAGATGCTTACTTTTGTACAAGGTAAGGCTGGAAGAAACTCAATCACTCAATTACTTAATCAAATAAATTTTTTTTTCTGCATTTGTTTCCTTATATGTGCATACAGAAATATGTTCTAGGATTTTTGTTGTTGTTGTTGTTGGGTTTTTTTTGTTTGTTTTTGCATGGGGGAAGGGTAGGCAGCTGAATTTCCTTCTTTTCTGTGAAGCTGGATAACCATATGCCCATACCTTACACAGCACCAGTCACCAAGTACAAGTACCAAGGACCTCAGGACAGGAAACACTGAACTGGTTTATCCCTTTACCCACAACAAAAATTCTCTCTAAACCATTCCCCAGGAACTGCCTTGATACAGTCCATGCACTTGAGTCAAATGCAATTCTAACAAAACTGAAAAAATTACACACTTTTTTTTTCAAAATGCCTAATATATGTATATCTAGAATGACTGAGTTATCTCAACAACAGACCTTTAAAAGGCCAGTGACAAGACTTTAAAGCTTCCCAAGACTAATAGAGGATAATTGCTTAACAGCAATCCTGTCTCTAACACGAGGAAACAGGACTTAATCTTGTCAGACAAGAATTAGTATTTGAAGAAAAATAAGATTGTTTGTTTAAGCTCCATTGACCATGACCTAAATACACTAACTAAACAAAACAAGACAGCAAACAGTAATGCTTAAATATTTCTGAAGTACAATTTTTCATAGCTCAAAGGAAATGCTGACAAAACCGATAATAAGTATAGTATAGGAGTCGTAAAAGAAAATTTAGAATTGTTCAAAGTGAATATCTAAAAGATGACAACTCCACAGAAAAGAGGGGGAAGGAAAATATTTTATACAGGTATAATACACCCCTTGAACCAAAAGCCCAAGAATGGAAATGTAATTTTAAGTAATGGTAGAACAGCAGCAGAACAGTATCTAAGCAGGTAAAAAAAGGTCTGATAACTGAAGTCTAACATTATACCATGCCAGATGTGAGTTCTGTTTTAGAGAAACTCATCTCCTTAAATATTCCAATAGTCCATAAGAGAAGGTGTCAACAGGCTGAGTGCAAAAACGAAAAAGATGAAATTGGGCAACTCAAAAGCCAATGTAGGACTTAATGGGTCAAATCTAGACCATTACAAACTAGGGATTAGCTACGGAATACAATAATGGAAGTGTTTTTCCTGTCACACTATTATAGCATCTTTTAAAATAAAAATCTATTGAGAGGAATGAACAGATAAAAGTCTTAGAAAAAAAGAAATAGCTGTTGAGACCTTTTCTTCACCCTAGGGACTCCAGCCTTCCTTAGCACACACTCACCTCAAGGAACCTTTAGCTTTGAAAGCCAGAGGGGAAGGATGCCTGCCGGCCAACGGCACGCCAGCAAGGGCAGAGCCACAGAGCTGCAACAGCCTCCTCTATTTGACAGCCTCCTGTCAGGTAGCCCTTTTGATTCTGAAGCACCTTCTTCCCCCTCTGATTTCCACAGATGCTGAGATAAGCTACAGTGTCCAGAACAAACTGAGTGGATCCCTCCAGCCCCGCTGTGCCGAGTTCCGCTGCTTCTGCAGTCCTTCCCAGCCACATGTGCCAGACCACAGAAAAGAAACTGCCTAGACCTGCAACTCCCACAGGCAACTCCCTGGCCTAACAAATTAGGGCTGACAAGCGGTTCTTGACTCAGAGAACATCAAACGGGAACTGCACTGCCCTCTACTTTTGCCTCTCACTGCCTGCTTTTCCAGAGACGCCACCATTCACAATTCCAACCTGAACAGCCAAGCCTAGGCCATCCTGCCACTAGAATAACTGTGTGACAACTCAAGGAATCCAAAACACATTAAATGCTCATTTACGGAGAGAGATTAGTGTTCATATTTAGGACTTACTTTCTGCACAACTTTATTTGGCTTAAAAATATTTTAAGTCTTTTTCCAGTTCTCCCACATAGCTTAGTCCATACACTTCTAAACTCTGGTCCCAGTTTCTCATTGTGCCTTGCAATCAGTTTACTCAAAAACCCAAGCTATTTTAACCTATTGTACAGAGACAAACAACTTAAACGTGCAACACCCTGAGCGAACTCCTAAATCTGAATCTGCACAGTAGGTCTGCCAAGAGCACCCATATCAAAGTTTGTTTTCAATAAAAATAGACTAATTTGTATTCAGATAAAGGCATCCAATTTGACGCAATTTAGATGATGAAGCTGTAAGTAGGGACACATAATTGGAAAAAAATAGTAGGAAACCATTTTCTATTTTGTTTTTTTGAAAAGAAGATATATCCAAATCACAGCACAATGTTACTGGAATAGAAGTTTCATCATCCATAATAACAAAAGAATATGGGGCACTATAAAATATTTCAGAGCACATACTTGAAGTTAATTAGGCGGTTTAAGCACCCAATTTCATAATATTTGGAAACGTGGAAGATTCAGTAGACTGCAAGTGTTGTATAAGTAATTGAGAAGTATAAAAGGAAAGGGCCAGAAGCCATAGATTATTTACCTCAACAGCAACCTTCGGTAAATTAATATAATAATTAATTTAGCTTTTATCATGGAATTAAAAGCAAAAATACAGTA